CAATGAATACAAAGTGGTTGTGCTTTCCCCAGAACGCAAGATACCGTAGACATCTCCTTGTGTCTCTAAAACACCACAGGTTTTTTTAGTTGATTTCATGCTTATGTGCCACAATATTAAAAACATTATAATCCTGTTAAAGTTCTTACGTTTGACTGTAATGGTGCATCATACAGCCATACGGTTGCCACTCTTGGTCTCCTTTGTACCGCCCATCTGACAGAAGCCATTTGCACGAATCTATTCCTGTGGATCACACAACACACTTTTGACGTAAATACGTCTATACAGAAGGGTCATTCGGAAAAAAAGTGAAAGGAAAACGTGTAAGATCCATATCAACAATGTGTAAATATGGACTGACAAAAATGGTCAGCTTGCGTGCATTGTTATGTTACCCAACAAACGTCATGTTTACTCGGCATTGTTGTGTTAGAGTAGAGTTTATTTACATTCCATGGATCCTTCTTAGGACTCAACCAAAGGATGTAGAACATGTCATTTCATACAATATACATACACTTCACAACTTTCAACACAAGTACAAGAACGTATTTCACATATCAATGTACATAAATTTCAGATTCTGCAATACAAGTATGAAAAATAATTTTACAAATTAATATACATAAACCTCAGAATTTTAAATATAAATACAAAACTTGCTTTACATACACGTAGATTATGGATATAAAGCTTAAACATTTTCAGCAGAGATGAAATCATCTACAGAATAGAAGGAGTGAGTAAAGAGGTAATCTTTCAATGCAGGCTTGAATACCTTTATATCATAATTTAGACTTTTAATTGTTGGTGGAAGATTATTAAACAACTTGATACCTGTATAGTACACTCCTTTCTGATATTTAGTAAACTTAGCATTTGGCACATATAGATCATGTTTACGTCTTGTATTTAAATTATGTACATCTGTATTTCTTTTAAATTTATCCATGTTTTCCACCACAAATGATAGCAAGCAGAGTATAAATTCACTTGCAAGTGGAAGTATATTAAATTTACGAAATAATTTTCT